AGTAGAAAGAAATCACATAAAAATCTTGATTATGGTTGAGCTGTTTACAACAGCTTCACTAAAACGATATTCGAGTAGAGAAGTTAAAAAACACCAAAACAAATGAAAAGAAACGATCTATAAAAAATCCTATATTTTTGTCATTTTTCATCGAAAATCCTATATTTTAGACAAACTTGATCCTCTAAGGATTCCTATATTTTAAAAAAATCGCAATCGAAGGCCAGCTCATAATGTGCATCTAGGTGGACATTTGGCTAAAAGTAAAAATCGCACTTTCTCAAGATTTTAATATGGTGAAATATAGTTCGAAATATGGCCTATTTAATGGTATAAATAACTTTGTTAGAACACTCAAAGTTACTGAAAAACTAATTGCCTAAAATTAGCCTGAAAATCGTGATGTCACCGGAAAAATTGATATCTGGCAAAATTAAACTGTTCAACAGATAAATCAAGTACATTTCCTGAATCTTCAAGCCCAGTTCTATACAATGATAAAAAAAATACTTTTTAATTTGTACGTTTAATTTCTGAGAAAAAAAATAATATTTTATTCTATAGTGTCGTTTGAAGGGCTAGTCCCCATGTAAAAAAAAATTATTAAAAATCAGATTAAAAATCGATTAAAATGAGACGATTTTAATCAGATTTTAATCAGATTTTTCAACCTTAAAAGATAGATTTTATTTGACTTAATCTTTTTTAATCGATTAAAATCTATTAAAAAACTTTAATAATCAATTATAATCGATTAAAATCTATTAAAAAACTTTAATAATCAATTATAATCGATTAAAATCTATTAAAAAACTTTAATAATCAATTATAATCGATTTATTTTAATAATCGATTTTGATCGATTAAAAAAAGATTAAGTCAAATAAAATCTATCTTTTAAGGTTGAAAAATCTGATTAAAATCAGATTAAAATCGTCTCATTTTAATCGATTTTTAATCTGATTTTTTTTTTACATGGGTCCCATAAAATGAGCAATCCACTCACATCCAAGCTTCAAACTTTTTCAAAATTTGCCAGAATGTCCTTCTATCTATTGTTTGTAATTCCTGTTAGCGCAAACACTCTTAGACTGTACAGTGAGTTTGGAAAAAACCTAAGTTTTTCCAGTATGTTTCAGCCTTTTCTGGCTTTGAAAAAACATTTAATCGACAGAAATAATATATTCGAAATCAGCGCATTAAACTGCGTCGAATGATATATAAGACAAAACAATTTTGAAAAATAAAATTTTCTCGAAAAAAATGACGGGCAAGGGTTCCCCATAGGCATTTTGCATCAAAGAACTTTTTTCTCAACAAATGTTTTCTTCTCTTAAAAATGCTTTGTTGCATCATATCCAATACTAGTTCTTCTATGAAATCAAATAAACATATTCAATTTCATACTATCAAAGTATGTCTTGAAGAAAATAAATTTCTTTATTATAAAATGTCTTTTGAATATTATTTGTTTTTGCAATGTTTTCAGTTCATTGGAAAAATAAACAGACAAATCAATTAATATATCACAATTAAAAAAAAATAACTATTACTTTTCTTGAGATTCTATCAGATAGTTCTATAATATCTTTTCATATAAAAAAAACATACATCTAATTACAAATGTCCTACACATGTTTTTATTTAATACGAAAACAAAAAAACAAACAGGTTATTTGATATTTTGTAATCGTCTGTGTCTAAATTTTGGATTAATAAATATTCTTACTTGATTTTTTTCTCGCATACATAAATGAAATGGAACATGTTCACATATACCATGTGCACCAGAATAATAGCAATTTTTAGTTGAATCCATTTTATATAATCCAGCACCACCAAACGCTGAACGAACTTCTAAAAGATCTCGTTCAATTGGAAATGGTTTTTGATGAATATTAAATATGTTTTTTAGTAACGAATCATTACAATAACTACCAATAGATCTCATTGACCATATTCGATGCCACACATCATAATTAAGTATTGTTTCTGATAAAGTTCTTAAGGCCCAAATATCATAATATTGTCCAATTGTATTAGCTGTCATAACAGACCAATCATTAGTATCATACTCAAAATTAGAAAGAAATGAATTTACATTATTACCGATTATATCTATATCAAGAACAAGCATATAATCTGATTTTAGTTGACGAGCTTTTTCTAATAATTCATTTCGACAAAATGCAATACGTTCTGTACGTATTGGAATAGATTTTGATAAATTCCCATATGTATAAATTTGAGCACGAGACCATTGATGGAGTTTTGTTAACGTATTATCACTTGAATCACTTTCACCGATGAGAATTTGTGATGATGGATGAAATAAATCTATTATTGATTCAGTATAGTTTCGACATTTATCGAAAACTTTTTCAGCATTACGTGCACACACAACTATAGTTAATCGAAGTGATTGAAGTCGATCATGAAGATTGTTACGTGTTGAATTTGATATACGTCGAGGTAGATTTAATTGAGGAGGTTCACGATCAAAAAATGGCCGAGTATCAGATACATTAAATGGTCGGCATTTTGAAGGTTTAAGTCTTACAAATATTGGTTTTATTGATGAAAAAGATAAATATGATAACTGATTAAGAGAATTTTTTGATAATAGTTCAATTGGTGATGATGATAGAAATTTGAGAAAACGTATAGAAAATACAATGAAAATAGATAGTAATATAACTAAAAGATAACGGTTATATAGTGCGCGAGACTTCATGATTGTGTTAGCATGTGAATGAATAATCTACAATAGACGATATATGAAAGAATATAACTAATGAGAATATAAGAAAAAAAAAGTTCGAAAGTATATTGATAAAAGTGAAGTGATTGATAAATTCCGTTTTCCTTATTTTTTCAATGGATGACAAAAAGGTGTGTATATTTTCAATTTTAATCAAAGTCTAGATCATGTTATTCAGGTTGTTATTTTAGAAGTTTATTCTTTTTCTCTATGATTGAATCTAATTTAGATAAATTAGATTATCTCATATGAAGAATAATCAATCTTTCGAAATAAATACTATATTATTGAAATACTTTGTACAACTATATATATTGATTTTATTTTTAAAGAAAATATATTGTTGATAAGTATCAAAAACTGATAAATACAAAATAAAGTTTTTATTTATTTAAGTAACTAAAAATTCAGAATTCATAAATAGTCTTTCTAGGTTTTTTCCTTGTATACATAAATGAAATATCACATACGCACTCCTAGATAACAAGTTCCTATTGATTTTATATCCATTGTTTTGTTTCTTTGAGGCAACCTTTACTTGAAAAACAGATTCTAATAGAATTCGATAACGCAGCGCGAACGCTGCTAACCCTCTACTGAAAGGATGAGTTGCACTGAAGATAGGATATTAGAAGTACGAGATATGGGAAATGATTCGTTGGCAGCACTTTAAGGAGCGGAATGAAACGAACCATTATTCTTCAAGAGTTGAAAATGTAGATTCCCATATTCGGTAATCCCTACGGAAATTGCATATTCTAAGCATGTTAAAAACATGCTTTATATCCACATGATATCATCAACATTCTCCGTACTCGCTTTCCCCAGCTAAATATTTTTATAGCATTATCTATAGTCTGATCAAAGTATTAGTATCGTGTCCCTAAGTTTCAAAATGTCTGAAATTTGAAACCAAGCGATTGAAAGTGACAAAAAGTCCTGTGTTAATGCCTGAAAATGACAATATGCCTGTGACAAGATGAGTATCAAGATTCCTGGCTCCATCAAACCTATTTTTGTTACTCTTATTTCATGAAAAAGCTTGTTAGCGGAGCTCCTTTGAGGCTGAAATATAGAACTCATATATACTATCTAACCTAATTAAACTAATACATAACACATAAAGTGATAAATCTCTCGTAGATTATAGGTGCTTGCAGGATAATTGATATTCAGAGTAATGACTTCTCTAATTTCTGCATTTCGAAAAGAATTTTCATTTTTTAAAATTCTTTTTTTCTTAATTTAACATTCTTATTATTATAATCATTGAATTAATTGACAAATATGTCTGTTTTACATATTCATGATATCTACAACTCGTCTCAAGCACTATTATTTATGTTAATCAACTCACAAATAGTAATATTTACTATTTTTCAAAATTATAACTTCATCAATTTTGCAACAAAATCTAAAAAATGTGACGCCTGTTATTCTTCATTGTCACGGTCTGTAATGGAGAGGGGTTTAGCAGGAGTGGGAGCCACGAAAACTCGCTCTTAAACTTACACTCACCATTTTCTTCGAAAAATATGTGAGTTCCACAAAACTTACTCAGTAGTGAATATATTCACTACAATAGTGTAGTTTTTCTCTGTCGAGCCATTTAAAGTAAACAAATATATCATTCACTTTTAATTTTTTATCTCTCTTATGTTCTTTTTTGAACGATGCAGCGTCGATATGGCTCTTCTCTTAACTCTTACTCACACTCACATTCCACCCAATAAATCTAGATCAGCAACAAAAACCTGTTAGCGTCAATGATGATACACTGCGATGCTAAACCAAGATTAAGACACGCTTTCTGATTTAATTGGCTTAGGACATTTGCCCGGATAGCAGGAGATATGGGCTTGAGTCGCACAACGATCGTCTTTTTTCTCATTCTCTTCGTTCACTGCATTTTCTATCGTATGAATCATATATGATGCTTACAAAACCGTGTCGCTATTCGACTACGTACAGCAGAGTAATGATATGAGCGATTCTGTCCCACTACGAACTGGATAACCTATGAAGGTAAAAACTTTATGAGTCGAAAATTTTCGCTTTCGTAATTCCACACCCTGGCTATATATGATCCGAATTCGATTGAAACTAACTGTGCTGTTGTAGAGCTAAAACAATTTTATTGTGAGTATCGATGCACGTTAAAGTCCCTAAATCACACTGTGTTAGTTATGATTCGCTGAAGGGTACGCAAATGAACTCCGAAGATGCTCGAAAACTTTGATCGATAGTTATTGATGCCTGTCTAAAATTCTCAGAGATACATTTCTTACTATAGACAAAGGAAGGTATACAGAATATGAAGATATTGTAATAGATATGGACATCTGAATACACAGCATATTGACTTCATATTTCTGGTAAACTACTAGCATGGATTCGAGTACCGTCACTCTGAAATAAAACAGTAAAAACAAAAATTCTCCTTATCAGTATATCATAACAAGTGAAATTGAAACTTAAGGAGAAAATATATTTTAATTTGAACACAGTTTTTTGTTCTTTTAAATATTTAAAAACCATGTTAAGATAAAGTTCGGCTTTCATAGAAGAATCAACCGATATTCCTCTATTCCAAATCTATGAGGAGTCTTTGACAACTTTGTAGATTAGAATAAGTGATTGAAACAGAGATATCAAGTCTCATTCTCATCGGGTGTGGCTGTGGCTATGAGGATCTGGGTGCTGGTGTATGTAGAGTCAAGACTAGCATCCACACCCATAGTTGTGCTTTTGGATGTCTGAGTGTGACTGTGGATTCGGTGCCGAGTTGCGATTACGAGTGTTCCCTTCGCTGTCATCAACACTGGAGCCGTCACTCCTACGCCTACATACATCCAGATGCCCCTGATACACAGATTCTTGATTTCCTCTTTTCTGATTGATTCCTTACCTGTTGTTGCGTTTTAGACTTGATTGCGCTTAGTAGTTGAATTGAAATGTTAAAACAGTCAAAAGTCGCTGAAAATGCAGTAGAAGTCGTCTCGTTGTATAGATTACTTCATCATTTTACTGACATTTATTGAAGAGGCGAGCTTGAAGAGAGCAACGATAAAATTTATTGCTTACGAAAGAAGTACGGCAATAAAATATTATTATCTTTATTGTTGGGCTTTTTTTGGCAGATATTTGTACAGCTAGAGGAAAAATGCGTTTAATCGACAAAGCTTAAAACAAGCTATGAAAAGAGCAAAAACAATAGATGCTCTGAAAATTCAATGATTGGCTTCAAGAATTATCTGTTTTTTTTCTGGGTGTGGATGTGAGTGTATGGCGTGTGGTAAATGTGAATGTGGCTGTATGGTGTATGTGGATTTAGCTGTGGCTATGGGGTATAGGGTGGTTGTGGATATGGAGTGTGGGTGAGTGCGGATATAGGGTGGTTTGTGGTAAACTGTGAGCATGGGTGTGGGCGTGGGAGTAAGAGTGAATCAGTTCTTTAGGCACACCTAGATCCACTAATATTCACACCCACCCTCACCCCCTTTTGTAGTATAGATAATTTACCAGTATTGTACTTTTTTTTAATCCCTTTTATTGCATTAACTCATTGCAATTATAAAACTGGTAATTGTTGAAAACTTCATTTCGCTTATAAGTTTCAGCCTGGTACATGTTTGCAGGGTTAGTACTCACAATCTTACACATTTTTGTCTTTCTAATGAAATGTACGAGTTCCAGTTCAGGCGAGGAACTGGGACCAGTCTACCAGTTTAAAAATATGGACAGTGTGAATATGGGTGTCGGTGTTGGCATCACTTTTCTCTTAACACCCACACCCACACCCACACCCACACCCACACCCATACCCACACCCACACCCATACCCACACCCACACCCACCCACACCCACACCCACACCCACACCCACACCCACACCCACACCCATACCCACACCCACACCCACACCCACACCCACCCACACCCACACTCACACCCACACCCACACCCTTATTTAAAAAAATAAAAAAATAGATTAATAAAAATCTGCTATACTAAAAATCAATATTTGATTTAGTCTCTTTTCTTTTTTCCGTTGCTTATCCAAATTATTAAAATTAGAGCTATCCACCTATTCAACAGTCGTCAACAAATCGGCGATCGCTGGAAAAGAATGAACCGTTATCGTTTATATCATCTGCATGTAAAAATTATTGCGTCGAGGGT